CCACTCTAGAAAGGCCAGAAAGTAAATACGACCCCCCCCCCTCCCAACAATGAGCAAGTACGACCTCCACCTTCTTTTACAACGTCCGTGAAGCGAGAAAAATCAATTATCAAAATAAACTTTTCTCAGCCCAAATACGACGCCCTCTCTTATGGCGGCCAATACTACCATCCCCCCCCCTGTTGGGGTTGACTTTTCGTGATTTTCCTGTTTCATGCGTACATATATCCTCCCCCGCTTGGTTGAGGGACAACCCCCAAAAAAGGGGTGATCGTCGTACGGACTCGACCTAAATCCCCAACCAATAATGTGCCCTGATTCTACTTCCATTCAGTATCGTAGTAGCTGATTAGAAGCGGTGTGCCCTATACAATGATTTGCGGGGGCAGCCAATGTTCAAGTCAGTATTTTCATTCTACCCAGATGAATCTTTTATCAATTCACCGTCCTCGGAGGGAAGAAGGGGCCCGAGCGAGAGCAGATACCAGATCTAATCCTTGGACCGTACACGTGGTATGCGTGCCACTTGCCACTTTCTCACCTCCGCCTCGATTTCCGTCTTAACCCACAGATATCCCACAGTTTGCTATCAAGGAATTTAACATCAGGCTGTTGGTTCCTGTAACAAGTAGCCCTATAATCCCTAATGTGGATTCCCGAATGTGGCGGTCCAAAGTTGCCTTTTCGATTGGATGCCGTGACGTAGCCTATCCAGGGCGAGGTGTGTGCGACGATTACTGGAAACTGGCTTCGTGGGCAGGTGGTCTCTGGGAACTTACCTCATCGATCCGCGTCGCTACTAGTTATAAGTAGCTGGTGGATTTTTCCCATCGCTTTCTGCCAGGGTCTGCCATTTGCAAAGGCGATATTGATATGCTTTATCAGATGCAGTTGTCGTTTCAAGGGAAAAGGGGCACAGACGAAATTAAAAAAAATGCAAACTATTACATCCGACTGTGGTGGTTGAATAAATGAACAAGTGAATAAATCTAAATAAGTAAATAAATGAATAAATAAATCAGATCGTCCTTGAAATAAGAAACTCGGAGAAACTTTTTCCCCTAATAATATTATTTTCTTCGGACAAATTTTCGTATTTTGTAACCAATAAGCTTACATTTCGTTTGGATTCCTTGTAGCGCGAAAATACTTAATTTTATCGAATAACACCATTTAAGTCAAAGCGAAACTACCGCAGGGTAAAGATCCCGCAAAATACACCTCCGCCCTTCAAACTCCCCCACCCTATGGTGCAACCTCATCCTTCCTACTCATCCTTCCTACTATCTCCATGAATTCTCCAACTTCCTAGCTTTTCCGCTTTTTTTCCTAAAAAAACTGCCGGCGACCGTGGAAGGCGGTAGCACGGAGCGCACATGAAACGGGAAAGACCGAGAAAATTCGACAACGGAAACGTTTTTTACAAAGCCAAATACGACTCCTTCCCTCCAGCGACCAAATGCGATCCCCTTCGCTGAGGATGCCAATGAGTGACGTGTCCTGAATAGATTGTTGACTCCTAGGAAAAAAGTACCTGAATTATCATGAAATTTGAGTGCTTCTCAAAGTACATAAAACAGACACTACTGTGAAGATGGGTTTCCTAGACGTCACCGTGACAGGTGTCCAATTGGAGTTGCCCGGAAAGCCGCCTAGAAGACGTCCCAAACAGCATTGGTTCGGCACACTGCATGCAGACTTTAAAGTAGCCGGCACCCCCCCCCCCCCTCCTCCTGCCCTGTCCCCCCGCGATCAGGCATTCAACCGCGAGTAGTGGCGTCATCATATCAGAAAAGCGAAGCTCGCCAAAGGGGGTAAAACGCTTGAGAAGAAGAAGTTGCAGGAGCAGTACCTTGCTAAAAATGCCTTGCCGTTCAGATCCTTGATTATCTTATTTTCATGGATGCCTCAATGCCTAAGTCTTTTCTCACTAAAAAAGTTATTCTTGGCTCAAGCTGGCAAAGAGGGGGCACTTGAACAGCTCCCTGTGCATATATGGGATTACCTTTTTTCGGCACTAACGACAAGCGCAGAGTTCTGGTTTAGGTTTTGCAAAATGAAGTTGCTGACAAATCCCCTCCTCCTTGGGAAGTTCTTCCTTTCTGATGCTTATACGAAGACTCTCTTGTCCACTGTTGATCTAATTTTCGTACAAGGAGCCTTCAAATGCCCCCCTCTCTTCCCACCAGAATTGCGTCAGAATGTCTTTCATAATTTGGACTTAAAGGTGATGAGGGAAGGGATGTCGATCCGAAATACGGATGAAGACCACATGATTCCTTGTGACGAAGATAGCTTTACGAATTCACGATGAGCGTCTGGGAACGTGCCCGGCATCCCAATAGCTTTTTTTGCCATCGTTGACCCATAAACAAATACGAGCGCATAAAATGTACATACTGATATTGATGGGCCGAATGTTATTGTTTTCTTCTTATGGTTAGCTGATTCTGATTCTCAGCCACGGAATTCTATGCTATCGCTAATTGAATCCATTATTTTTTTTCAGAAGAAAAGCCGATTAGATTCGCATGGCAAGGACAGCGGGGTGGAGATTCTCAGCAATAAGCCGTACAAGGATGGACCAGGCGGATCCGGCCAATACACTTTCAAAATCTATCATATTGGCAGTAAAATACCCGGTTGGTTCGGTTTGCACGTTTATCCGCTTTTAATTGGCAGATCGTGCCGGCGTATCCGATCGATTCCGTGGCTGCTAATTGAGAACTTCCATTCGTTGATGAGACTTTTTACCAGCAATTTGAGTGACACATCGAAAACTGTAACGCTTCAGAATTAATGGTTGCATGTCGCGACTGACGCGAAAATGCCAAAGCAACACGTCTTCGCCGTTTGGCAGTCCATCCATGAATTGCATTGGGACGGGGGCTGAAAACATGATGGCACAGTACATGATGGCACCGGGAAGAATTCTCCTCAGTGCGATTCCATCCCCCTAAAGCAGACTGATCAGCTAGTACAGTAGGATTGGAAAAAAGAGCAAGGTCAGGGGGTACGTCTGAAACGGATAGAACGGTTGATATAGCGAAGAGATTCTGCCAGGCCAAATAGGCTTTCTTCTTGCCGGTTCAGAGTACCCTCCAACCCCCCTTGCGCTGATACCTCAACACGGCGTACCTTGTTTTGGGAGAGCACTCCTTAGTAACTGAAAGCCGTTGAGGAAAAGAGGAGAGATGTGTGATTTTGTAAGAAGTTAAGGTTAGTGACTTTGCCAAACAAACGTGCAGTCGCTTGCTGCTGGTGATGGGGCGCTTCAGTGAGGGGGCTGGATTTGGCGCAGCGCAAGTTGGTTCTCCACAAACTGTACAGCTGGCAGGTAACCACTCGGTGGAAAGCTGGCTGACGCTGCGCCGAAACCACTCATCCCAGCTATCACAAGAATGCTGAGTTGTGGGCAAAAGTCGTGCCCCAGGCGGGAGTCGAACCCGCACCTCACGCTCGTAACGGATAGCGCACTCGCCCGGAAAGCGTGAGGTGCGGGTTCGACTCCCGCCTGGGGCACGACTTTTGCCCACAACTCAGCATTCTTGTGATATAACATTCGGAACGCGTACTGCGGCGTTAAACAGCAGTTATCATAACAAAACAGCTTCAAAAACTCATCCCAGCGTTCGCAGTGAATGAGATTATACATCATCAGTGTGGCCACAGTCCGGTACGCGTGGGTTGTTGTGAAACCAAGGGGGGGAGAGGGGAGGGGTCGTATTTGGTCGTCGTTGGGAGAGGGGGATCGTACGTGGCTTTGAGAGAAATTTCATAAGTTTGCCGCGCTAGGAAAGAGTTTTTCCAATTGTTTGACTTTTTTGTGATGTTTTCCTATTTTCATGCCGTATTTATATAACCCACCCCCTCACTCGACCGGCCTCAATTCGATGCAGGAGGTGCAGGTGACCGGAGGGGGGGGCGCTTCGCACCATAGCCCCAAAAAACGGGGGACGCGGAGGTGCGGCGTCGTGGCCAGACTCTACAAAATCACGAATCAATGATGTGCTTGTCGCCAGCGGCAAAGTTTGTGTGGGGAAAACTAAGCAAATTTTCGAATTTTCGGAAATTCCGGAAAGAGTGGTAGGAAGTTGGGGAGAAAATCGGTGAAAAACGGGAAATGTGGGACAGTGGTAGGTAGGTGTTGGGGAAGGAGGGGCTCGTACCGAGACTCTCTCGTAGTTGGGGTTTGGTCGTACCGAGACCCACCCCCTACTCGAGGGGGCTTCGTACTGATACCACCATTTCACACATCACGACACTGTTCCCTGGTGTGAATCTTCATCGGGGAGGGGGTCGTGTCCAGTCGCTGGAGAGGAGCGTGAGTTCGAGTGTGACCTGATGGAGTTTTTCATCACTTGCCGCTCTGCTTTTGAGAACAAATAGGGGACAGGGATATTGAGCAAGAATATTCCTCATTTCAGTGACCTCTGTCTCCGGAATACGGTTTTTTGATTTTCATGAATTCAGCCGGAGTTTTGAATTTTCGAAGAAATATGGCCCAAAATGAACAGAGTGCAGGGTTTTCCTTCTTAACTCGGGAATGTGAGGGAAGACTGTTGACGTGGAACAACTATTATATTTCACTGTGGAAAATGTCACTTCCGACGATCCGAGGGAGGCTGTGGGGGAAAACCACCCTCGTTGCCATATCGTGTCCCGATACGAAGCGATAGAGAAGCTCGCACCATAAGCACTGGTTTGGTGTGAGAAGTTGACCGGAAATTTGGCAGTCAAGCTCTCAGATGCCAATTTGGGCCATGAAGGATGTGCAGCTAGTGTTTCGCTCCACTGAACCGACGCCAATTGAACAATAGGACCTGCGCATTTTGATCTGTGTTCATTCAAGGACGCCTGGCAATTCCAGGAACTGCCGAAGAGAGAAAGGTTGAAGCGGATGAGACTGTGTGTAAAAAGACGCAAACCAATGATTCAAGAGTCTTAAAGTTAAACAACTGATTTTTGTACCTTTTTTACTTTCGCGAAAGTAGTGTATTGCAGTAGGCCCCCTTACCTTACCTACTTACCCTGGTTACAAGCCGGGGTTCAGATCTCCAATCTACAGGGGGGGGGCAAAAAAAGACATTTCGACCGAGTCACATATCAGCAAAGTTTTCGCAGCCCAGACAGAGGACGTGGATACGAGTACCAGGGCGGAAGATACCCAAGATGTTCCTCTATAAGCAGGAGCTGGCTCTCGCCCATCACCTTCATGTACACCAAAATATGAAGTCGCAGCCTGACTGGAGAAGACCTTTGGAATTCATGTCACCTCCAAACAGCTGCGAAACTTCTAGTATGGAGTCACCCATGGATAGCTACCTGGAGACCAGTACTCTCGATCTGGAAGACCTCCATCATCGAGCAGCTCCGTCTTGAAATGGAGGGGCGTTGAGTACCTGAGGAAGGTGGAATATTCAAGCAGGTCA